TAACCTGGACTTTCTGTATCTGACCGAAACATGGCAAAAATCCCTGGAGTATTTCTCTATAAATCAAATCACCCCAGCAGGATTCACATGCATTGACAAACCTCACCCACAAGGGTGGGGTGGTGGTATAGCTGCTATTACCAGAAAGGAAATAAAAGCTACCATAATCCCGTCCCTGATGTTTCTTCATTTGAACACCTGATCTTCAAACTCTCTGGTCCCACTCCCCTGGTCACAGCCATCATCTACCGTCCCCCAAAGCCAAACCCCTCCTTTCTCTCCGACCTCTCTGACATTCTCACTCAGCTTTCTGCCATATCCCCATCTGTTGTCCTCTTAGGTGATTTTAACATTCATGTTGACGACCCGACCCTGACTTCTCTCAACACATCAACTTCCCAACACACAGCCGTGGTCACATCCTGGACTTGGTCTGCTCCACTGGTCTCACCATCCATCATCTGTCCAGCCTCAATCTCCACATCTCTGATCACCTGGGGCCTCATGGATAACACCGTGCGTAGGATTCACGTGGGAAGGTTGCTTACGTAGTAGAAATCCGAAAAATAGGTCCATAAATGTTCCGCCACTTCCCGATTCACCAAACATTGCGTACCGGCGAGCAAAGTGCGTACAGCACTTCCTACACCGGTTTCCCTTTATAAATCACAACCGACTCGAAATGCGGTGCAGCTTTTGCGGGCTTCACGTAACGCCCATATTTGCCTATAAATAGTCAAAGAAACGCCCATTCATTCATTCTGACTGACTTTATGAAGAAGATCGCAGGAAATGACGACAGAACAGCTACAAAAGACGTCTCACACCGTGTCAGATTCTGGTTATTTTGGGGAGGTCGAGATAAATCATATTGTTTGGTGGATGCAGTTTGAACCAGAGTAGCAGCATGGAGGTCGGATCCTCACCAAAATAAAATAATAAGTGGTCCGAAAAAGGTTCATGACAAAAACAATACACATAGCCTTCCTCAGGCAGTGTGTTTGTACCGGGGACAGGAGACCCCCCCTTGATGAGAGACTGTAAGAAATGATCGGGGAATCCCCCCGGAGTGTTGTCATGACGACTGGATCTGAATTATTTGTTTGTATTTGGTGGTTTGTGTTCCAGCTGTCGATCAGCTGTGCGCAGCGTCTCCTCTGCAGCAACCCTATATCCACCAGTTAAAGGAAATACAACTAATGTGTTGTGTTATATTAGCTGTACAATTGACCACATATGGTGTTCTTAGTTTCCATACCTCCTGTGTTTTACGAGCGACTTATCAAGTCTTAGCAAACGGCATAAAACATGATTAAACATGATAGTATATAAAACCATGCTCGTATCTATAACCTATAGAAATGCAACACGGCGTCAGTTTAGACGTAATTCTGTCCTTCTGCTTACCGCATCATTTATGAGAAAACATTTCTTAACATGAGAACATAATCGAGGGGTGATCAATAACATGTCCGTATTTATTTATTTCTCCAAGTTGTGTTTTTGTGTGCACTGAGGAGTCTCAAACAGGCGTTTGTTTAATCATTTTAAGATTGGCTTTAATCAATGTTTGAAAATGAATTCTTCATATATGATAAATGAGAGGTAACATTTTGTTTATGGTATTATTTCCACATATCTCTCTCCATTCTTCCTTCTGCCAACGGTGTCGCAGTTTCTCGTCTCTACCGTTTTTGTGCTTAGTGCGTATGCATGGGTTAGAGTTTGCGTGGAGGACCGCACGTTTTCCCGTCAAGTTAGTATTTTATAAATCGCAAACATTGCGTAGAAACTGGCGTACGCCATTTTTTGAGCGTATATCGCTTTATAAATGAGGCCCCTGGCCATCATCATGGACATCAACATCCCCATCCCCGCCCAAAAGCAAAAACGCACAATAACCTACAGAAATCTCAAATCCATCTGACCTTCAGCAATCACTGCCTCCATTACCTGCAAGATGTCTGTCTCCCCCCCCCCCCCCCCCCCCACTTTCTGAAAACCCATCTGAACTTGTGGACTATTATAACAGCACCCTCTCCTTCTGTCTCAATGAACTGGCCCCCACCAAAACAAAAAATGCCTCTTTCATACACTCCGCCCCCTGGTATACCCGCCAAATGAAATCAAGGAAACGTCAACTTGATAAGAAAACCACACTAACAGTCCATCTTCAAATCTACAAAGACTATCTCCAGCAGTACAGTAATGCACTCAAAGCAGCCCGGTCTAATTACTACTCACAACTCATTCAGTCTGGCTCCAGCAACCCCAAGCGTCTGTTCTCCACCATCAGCAAACTTCTCAAACCCTGTGACAACGCCACCTCGTCCTTCACCACCGAACAGTGCAACTCCTTCCTCTCGTGTTTCCCCTCCTGTCTCCCCCCCTTCACCTCACAGCCCCTGTCCCACTTCTCCCCTGTGACCCCCATGCAACTGTCTGACTTCATGACTGGAATTAACTCCACCTGCACACTTGACCCAATGCCCTCCAAATTTGTTAAAGAGAGCCTCCCTGCCATCTCCCAACTCATCGCCACCATCATTAACTCCTCCCTCAGATCTGGATCAGTTCCCCCCTCTCTCAAACTCGCTGCTGTCACACCCGTTCTCAAAAGACCTGGACTCACACCTGACATCATGTCCAACTTCCAGCCCATCTCACATCTCCCCTTTCTGTCAAAAATACTTGAACGTGTCGTTGCCTCACAACTTAAAGCCCACCTCAGCTCCAATGATCTCTTTGAGCCATTTCAATCCGGTTTCTGATCAAAACACAGCACAGAAACAGCTCTTCTGAAAATCACAAACGACCTCCTCCTCTCCTCTGACTCCGGCAACCTTAACATCCTCATCCTCCTCGACCTCACCGCAGCATTCAACACCATCAACCACGCCATCCTGCTGTCCCTCCTCGAATCATCACTCAACCTCACCGACACTGCACTCTCCTGGCTGAAATCCTACCTCACCGACAGACATCAGTTTATCAACATCAACAACTGCACCTCCTCCACTGCTCCTCTGTCCCAAGGTGTCCCCCAGGGTTCGGTGCTTGGCCCCCTCCTCTTCATCCTCTACATGCTCCCCCTTGGCAAAATAATTTGTCGTCACAACCTTCATTTTCACTGCTACGCCGATGACATCCAACTTTATATCTCAACAAAAACCATCACCCCCACAGCACACTCCACTCTCACCAACTGTCTCTCAGAAATAAAAGCATGGATGCAAACAAACTATCTCCAACTGAACAGTGCCAAATCAGACATCATCATCATCGGCCCCCCATCCCGTACCAAAGCCATCCAGAATTTCAACTTCACCATTGACAGCCACACTATCTCCCCCCCCTCACATCCGCAACCTCGGAGTCATCTTCGACAGTCAGCTCAAATTCAACCACCACATCAATCACATCACCAGGACCGCCTTTTTCCACCTCAAAAACATTGCCCGTCTCCGCCCATCACTCTCCTCCTCTGCTGCTGAAACCCTGATTCATGCATTCATCACTTCACGACTCGACTACTGCAATAGCATCCTCTACGCGGCATACCATCCAACCTCCTCAATAAACTCCAACATATCCAGAACTCTGCTGCCCGCCTCCTCACCCACACCCGCTCCCGAGACCACATCACTCCCGTCCTCCAGAACCTCCACTGGCTCCCCGTCCGTCAAAGAATCGACTTCAAAGTCCTCCTCATTACTCACAAAGCCCTCAACAATCAGGCCCCCCCCCTACCTCACAGACCTGCTGCACCACCACACCCCTTCCCGCTGCCTCCGCTCATCAGAAGCCAACCTCCTATCCATCCCCACCCGCACCAATCACCGGACCTGGGGGGGCAGAGCCTTCTCCGTCGCTGCCCCCTCCCTCTGAACTCACTCCCCCAACCCATCAGAGACTGCACTGACCTCACCACCTTCAAAAAACTCACCTCTTCAATCTGGCTTTTAATGTGTGATTGTTTTTGTATTATTTGACTTTAACTTTAACTATATATTTATTTGTTGTTCCTTTATTTTATTTTCCCTTCACTATATCTGTAAAGCGTCTTTGAGCACCTGTAAAAGCGCTAACAAAATAAATCTATTATTATTATTATTATTACTGCTTTGTCTTGTGGTGGCTGTACTCTTCCAGCCGCCTCCCTTGTGATTGTTTTCCCTTTCCCTGTCTGTGTCTGTGTGGGCGTGGTGGCTGTCACTCCTGGCTCCCGGCTCAAACCTCCACCTGCTGCAATCAGCTGTGCACCCTCCCCTACTACACACCTGATTCCCATCAGCATTTACAAATGCCATATCAGCGGAGGCTCCACAACCTGTCAGCGCCAGATCGTTGTTTAACCCACAGTGGTAAAACTCTCAGCCTTCTTAGCCTTAGCATTATTAGCTATTTTCCTCAACACAGTATATTCTTCTTACGTGTTCTTCTTGTGCTCCAGGATCACTCTCCGGCCCCCGTGCTGTCATCACCAGCCGCCACCAGTCGTCATTTCCAGCCGGATTATTCTCTACGCTCCACCTCAAAATAAACCTTTTTTCCAACACTCTGCCTTGTCCTGCGTTTGGGTCCTCTCGGATAACGTAACATGTCTTTATGCTGCTACTGCCACTACTAACCCTATTACTCATTTTCCTAGTTCTTCTTATACTTCTATAAATGCTGTAGCTACCCCAAATGGCTAGTGCTGCTTCTATAAGTACAAGTGATAGTATTGCCATTAGTACTCATACTGGATGGCTGTCAAGCAGTCATAGTACATTACCCTCTTATTGTTTCAGTTTTATGAAAGACATAACCTTCATGAACTCAGATGTATCATGTTATGTTATATGTGCTGTGAACACAGGATGTGTGTGTGTGTGTGTGTGTGTGTGTGTGGTGTGTGTGTGGTGTGTGTGTGTGTGTGTGTGTGTGTGTGTGTGTGTGTGTGTGTGTGTGTGTGTGTGTGTGTGTGTGTGTGTGTGTGTGTGTGTGTGTGTGTGTACCTGTCAGAGATCGTGTGACGGCGCTTTCGTACAGAGGGACTCCCTCTCCGGCGTTATTGAAAGCCTTCAGGGAGATGACATAGTGCGAGCTGGGCTCTGAGAGACAGAGAGAGAAGAAGAGAAGCACAAAGGGTTAAACATGACATCAGCAGATACTACACAGCACACCATCATCACAGGATTTAAGTCAGATCATTTCTAAATTCATCTTTCTTTTCAATTGTACTCCATTCTTAATACATAAGCAATGGATATATATTTGAATGTTTCGCCAATTAATTAATTAATTAGGGAACAATCGAAAGAAAGGTCAAAGGTTAACCAAAGCTTACTTTGTCTTCTTCCAGACGTCTGTAGTGTTGTCTATTATCCTGTTAACTATCATTGTATTCTTCCAAAATAGAAATGAAATGCCATTGCTTTTGCATCGTTGATAGCTCGACGACTAATTCTTCTTAAATGGAAGGATGAATCCCCACCCACCCATACTCACTGGATTAGAGATCTGTTGCAGTGTTTGCATCTGGAGAAAATCCGGTCCACTCTGAAGGGATCTACTGATAGATTTGATAAGGCCTGGCAGCCATTGATCACACACGTAGAGAAGTGCAAGCTGGACTTAACTCTTTAAAGAAGATTGTGTATAGATTTGAGTGTTGCTGAATCTGGGCTACCATTTCTAAAGGAATACGGTACGTTTTGTATATATTATGTTATAATGTTATATATTATGTTATATATATATGTTTTTATTTATTTAATTTGTGTGTCAACTGTGAGAACGTGTACATTTATCTCATTTACTTTATTTTCTTTATTTTTTATTTCATGCTGGGGTGGGGGCTATATTTGATCTGCTTTTTGGCAGTCTGGTTTAAATGTGCACTGTTGCATCGACAGTATGTATTTGACTGCTCAATGACATTCTATATGATTTTTCTTTGTAATGAACATTTTCAAAAATAAGGTGTTAAAAAAATAAAATAAATAAACTAACCTTAAAAAAAACCAAAAAAAAAAACAATCATTTTATTAAGATTTTCTTACCAAATATATTTGTTACTTTTTGGGAAAACTGATGGACATGACATGACTAAATCCTGGTAAATAGCAGTGGTTGAGTTTTAAAGGACACACTCATACTAATCATTTGAGTTTCTAATAGAGCATATCTCAGTGCTTTATTACTATTCCATTGTGTCATTACTTGGGAACAGAGAGTTGTTTCTTCCAGTTCCCCTTGGGGGGGGCGCCAACAATCGCAGGGGGTGCACCTGGCCTCAGATGATTTGAGGCCGAATATCATATTTAGACTTTCTTTTTTTCTTTACTTTTTTTTTTTTTTTTTTACATATAATTGTTACACAATACATGATTGTCGCTAAAGGCCTTGTCTCTACATTACAATAAAGTATAACAAATAATGTATTCATTAATTTTAATACAAATTCAAGTTAGTAGCTATTAAAGGCATAAAAAGACAGAAATGTATAATTCTTTCTTTAATATAAATGTTTCTTCTGCCCGTAAAGTGTCCAAACCGGGCTTGTCTGGATAAGCGCATTTTTAAAACACAGTCATTGTCATGCCGGTTTCAGTTGGATTCAGTTGCTCCAATCAGATCGGTCTCCTCCATTTTGTAGATTATTTACATCTTTTGAATCCACATAAACACATCGGCAAAATCCGGTTTACTTTGAGCAACAGTTTAATCCCTTTGTGAATTGTTTCCACTTGCGCCGTCCTTTAATTTCTTCATCGGGAATCCAAATGAATGAATCCTGAGTCCAATAACCATCAAAGTCACTCCAATAGTGCTCCTTAATTACGCTTTCATCCTCCTTTAACAAAATACTTCACATTCATCCAGTTTGTGACAGCAGTTGGAGCATTTTTGAGACTTTTAAACTTTAATTACCGCTGCCCCCCCCCCTTGTGTGTGTGTGTGGGGGGGGGGGGGGGCGCAACTTCCAACAGGAGTAATTTGGGGGGGCTCTTGGGAAAAAGGCTGGGAACCTCTGTCCCTGAGGACCCTCTGACTGAGACGTCTGAGCTGATGGTCATGCATCCTGATGATGCTGCATGTGTTCTTCATGTGGCATCAAACCCTCACATCGGTTAAACCAACACGGCTGCACTCCCCAGACGCCTCACACATGAATTATTAATCACCATGAATTATGAATGTCGTGTACATACGTGCACTTAATCCATGTGTGCAATGCATCGGCCACATTTTATTTTTTCATTACTCCATTATGAGACCTCAGATGGGACTTTTCATCTGCGTTTGAAAATCCCACCAATTCTTCACTGTCTCCTTTGGCATGCAGATTGCTTGTTGTGCTCACTGGGGAGGATGTTTTCTATTATTGGTCCTTTCATAATTAGATTTCCACCTCAAGCAGCTTTCTTATTACATTTCTTTAAATTATTGATGGTAATTAAATGGGAATTTCATTATCATAATGAATGACTTGAACAGGGAGGCGCTGAGTCAATAGTCTGCAGGATGTGCAGCTGGATCTCTGGGGGCAGCACATATGAAATATGTGGTGTTGATAAGTATACTGGATGTTTTTATTCATGGGATGAAATAAGTCGAAATCACGTCAAATAACCTATTCCTATTTCCCTGCATGTTCAACCACATGATACTGTTAGAACTGTTTAACTCGAGTGTGCACTTTGCAAAGTTTCCCTTAACTGTGACTATAATAAATGTATTATAACACATAACTGTATTAGGTTAGTTTAAAGCAATGATATCAAGGGTTAGGGTTAGGTGCTTTCAACTAACCTAATAAAGTTATTTGAAATCTGTTGACATAATGCATTTAATTAAAGTCAACGTTACAGTTTTTTCAGAGTTGTTTGATGGAGCTAGGTAAGCAGTTCCCTCCACAAAGCTCTGTGTGAGGTCACAGTTTCTGTTTCCCCCCATCAGCTCCTCATCACCCCTCACCAAGGTTTTCGATGGAGTAGTATCTCTGTTTGCTGTCCACTCGCACCGTCTCGGCATAGGGACTTCCCACTCCGTAGCCGATGATGTAACCTCGAACCAGGATGTTTGGGCTGAGGGGGGGGGGTCCAGGACATGATGATGCTGTTTGGCAGCGGCCTGACGTGCAGAGAGCTGGGCTGGTCGGGCACTTGACTCTCTGCAAAAACACCAAGAGTGAAACGTCACTCCAAAGAAGTAGACCTCCACCTCCAGTTGTTAGCAGCAGCACTAGCAGGTAGAGCAACCGTGGCTAACAGATGCTAACCCTCTTAGCTGCGTATTAAACCCTAATAAGCCCTGACACTTTGCGTTAGTTTTCTCAGCATCAGATTGGATCAGATTAGCGTGCTCTTAGTCCTCCGGGGAGACGCTTCATTTCCCTTTATTGAGTGATAATCCATTGATATGAGATTGAGTCTCCCTCGGAAACAAAGTTAGCATGGATGTGTTTGTTTCTTATCTCAGCTGTGTCCTGCTAACCAGGACCGTCTGCTTCTGACACTTAGCCTGAGGTCAACTTTTCTAATTATTCAGCTCAAATTATTAAGAGACCAAACCCAAATCAGTGTTTTCTCTCTCTTTCTTACTTTCTGTCTTTCTGTCTTCATTGACAGCCCCTTGAGGCTCAAGTATAAGAAGGCGAGCTTCCAGAAGCTCCAGGTTGCTTATAATGACTGTTTGTGTATACTGCTTAGAAAACCAAGGTGGTGCAGTGCAAGTGAAATGTTCTGTAACGCACGAGTCAACACGTTCCATGCTCTCTTGAGAAATCTGATGTACAAATTCATCTGTCGATTGAATGTTTCTCATAACTCTGTCATTATGCTGCTTTCAAATCCGTGTCTCAGTGCTGTACGATGCCAGTCACCTCTGTGGAAACATTGGTACCACTGCCTTTTTTTATTTATATTTGAGTGTTGTATGTCTTGTAATAATGGACCAAGAGTCTCTTCAAATAAAGATGATGATGATGATGATGATGATTGACTTCATTTAGGAGAAAACATATTTTCCTGAGCAGACCTAGCAATTCCAGTAGTGTGTTGGTTTTGCTAGTATTTGTTTGTTTCTAATATTGTGTAACGGAATGGTTTTAAAGTAACTAAATGAAATGAATTACTGATTTATTATTGCAGAAAAATATAATTTATGGCAGTAGAGTTTCCAATACATCTTTATCTGAAAACGTATCAGACGTTTATTCTAAAAATCGAATTTAACCATGTTTATTAGGCATTTAAAATGAGATAAGAAACCTTGAATGCAATTATGAATACATATTTTATAATATTCCATCTGTGTTTTTGTTGTGCGTAGACGGCTCTGCTGAGATTGTTCCCTAGTTTAGGTTTCATGTTATGTGCTTAGATAGGTTCCTGTTTTATTTTGATAGTCTTGTCTACCCTCATGTGTCTAAAGTACGTTTCCTACCTTGTCTGTTTTCCCACGGTTGTGATTGTCTAATTGTCTTCACCTGGTGTTGTCTGTCTAGTATATATAGTTCTCGTCTTCCCCTGTCTCGTTGCCAGATTGTCTTGTGTGTTCCAAGCCTTCCAGCGTAAGATCCTTTTGTCATTGTCCATAGAGTTATCGTCCATAGAGTTAGATTAGTGTATTAGTAGTTTTTGTTTTGTTGCTTTATGTATTCAGTGTGTTATGACCTGTCTACATTAAAACACTTTATTTTGATACTTTGTTTGTCTCTGCATCGTGCATTTGATTCCACGCCCTTGTACAGCCCTAACAGTTTTCTATACTGGCATTCATCATCTTTAGATAAAGGAGCCTCCGCTTATAGGTGCAGACAGAAGGAGTTATGTTATTGTAAAATATATTAATTAGTACTATACATTTTTTTAATAATTTCTTCATGTTTAAGAAAAGTGACAGTTTAGGGGCGTGTCTTATATCTTGTAGGTTAAATACATAGACTGTATATATAAAGGTTAAATAGCATACACGCAACTCAACAGCAGGCAATGTGGTCCTTTTTTACAACACAAAGCATTTATGAATAAAAGTGTTAAGTCTAAAAAATCTAAATGTTGTCTTTTGATCATACTGTACACAGAAAGGTACATGGAAATGCAATGCACTTAGTTCTCCTCTGCTGTCCCCCCTCCCCCGAGGCAGATCTCCCCTCCATCTATCCGTCTCATTCCTTAAGTGCTTAAATATTTATGTGTGTCGGGAGAGCGGAGGTATTTACATGCTGCTGTACAAATCACTCCTTTCTCTCTCTCTCTCACTCACTCACTCACTCTCACACACACACACACACACACACACACGCACACACACACACACATACACACAAACACACACACAGACACACACATACACACAGACACAAAACACACAGACACACACACACACATACACACACACACACAGACACACACATACACACACACACACACAGACACACACACACACACACACACACACACACACACACAGACACACACACAGACACACACAGACACACACACAGACACACACAGACACCACACACACACAGACACACACATACACACACACACAGACACACACATACACACACACACACATACACACAGACACAAACACACAGACACACACAGACACACAGACACACACAGACACACACACACACACACAGACACACACAAACACACAGCCACACACACATACACGCAGACACACACACAGATACACACATACAGACAGACACACACACACACACACACACACACACACACAGACACACATACACACAGACACACACAGACACACAACACATACACACAAACACACACAGACACACATACACAAAGACACACACACACACACATACCCACACACACAGACACACACACAAACACACATACATACACACACAGACACACATACACACACACACACACGCCACACACACACACGCACTTACCATCCAGGTCATTCTCCGGTGTCTCCGCATTGAACCAATCACTGGCCGGACCCGTTCCATTGGCCGTCATGGCTGCCACCTGGAAACTGTACTGGCTGCCTTTGTCCAGACCTGAGGGGTTGGGGGGGGGGGGGGGGGGGGGGATAATATACTGAGTCAATTTGAAACTGTCTTTTTTCCAAATGACCTCTGATTATATATATACAGTGTATACACTATTTATTTAACCCACGTGCAAATTGGATAGGTGTGTGATAAGACCTTACCAACCTGTGAGCAGTCAAAATGAATAATCTATATGTACGCAGCTAAATGTAGATTAACTTATCCTGTGGTCTTTTCAAGTTTTAAGTTCAAAAGCATTTCATTTGGTGAATGTCACTGAGTGACTTATTTAATACAAAGATTAGGACTCATCCTTGACTTGGGACTTGCTGGTTTCAGCTTCACTAGATCCTAGTGTGAACGGTTTAGTCACTTACAACATGCGTGATACTTGTAAAACCGTTTATACTTATTTTTCTCTAACTGTTAGTTAAACATCTTAAACTGTTAAGATGTGGATTTTTTTTTCAAATGCAGCAAAAAACAAAACAGACACAACTTGAGACAAATCCACCGTCTTACCCACCCACACACACATTTACATGCACATACTCAACATGCTGGTTCAGTACAGGAAGATTTTAAGAACCCTTGTCTTTTTTTTTGGTAGTTTTGTCAAAACTTTGAGACTCAGCATAAAAAACAAGGTTCTAGTTTCACAAATATATTTGAAATGATAAGTCTGGTAATATTCTAAATGTTTCGCATTCTAAAGTCTCACCTGTGAACAGGTACCAAAAGTTGTTTGGTTCGATGGCCTCTTGCTCTCCACGGCGACCGGTCTTTCTGTATTTGATCTTGTAGGCGGAGATGATGCCGTTCTGGGCGCTGCGGGGGGGCGGCTGCCATGACACCTTGATGCTCTGGAAGAGAATGAAGAGAGAAGACAATAATGAAACTAATGGAGCTGCAGAGCGTCCTCTGAGCTCGCAGACGGATTCTTGGGCAGAACTTAAAGGTCCCCACTCCCAATGCTGTGTTTGGAGTCAATGTGGTTTTGCAATTATTTTTATTTGTGTCATTGTGCATTTATTTCTGGTTGTTTTGCATCTTCAGAGACTCTGTAGTCTTTTGTTTCTCTTTTGGTCTCCAGCAGTTGTTTTGTTGTGTCTTGGACATATCTTTGGGTGGCTTAGGTTTTGCAATGCGCCGTGGGACAGTTATTCCTCCAGCATGTAGTTTGCTCACCTTACAGACATGTTGAGCCCCAACCACAATACAGTATAACTGTGAATACAATCTGTTGAATCTTCAGTTTATTATAGAGCAGGGGTGTCCAAACTACGGCCTGGGGGCCAAATGCGAATTGAATTGGCCCTCAGCAAATAAAAAAAGTATAATGGAATATGGCCCACAAATGAAACATTTGCTTGTCTTACTTCATAAATATACATGTAAAAATATATTACACAGTAGTATTCATGTGTTAATAAGCCCACTTTTCAAATATATTCAGTCAATTAAAGTTGGAAAAATGTTCGAACAAATCTTAGTTGATAAGAAAAAAGGCCCAATAACTTATTTACCTAACAAGCTTGAAATATACCCTTCATGTTTCCCCTTACACAATAAAACTGAGGCTTCTGTTTTGGGGGATGAGCTGCCAACAAAATAAATGTGATATAGACTGTTTTTTTCTTAAATCATTATCAAGTATCAAGCATCATTTACCTACAATTGATTAATTTTTGCAAACTTATAACTCAACTTATGAGGCAATATACTACTTGCCCTCTGTAAAAAAAGTGTGGACACCCCTGTTATAGAGCAACATTAGTACGGTCATGCATACATTCTGTGTGAGTGTGAACGTGACCCAGGATCAGCTGAGACACTCTTTGTTCAGGTGAGTCTGTGTGTTTCTGCTTCATTCACTCTAGTTAAAGGCTGTGGGAATTTTAATGTCACTGTCTGTGTGTGTTCGTGTGTTTGGGTGTGTGTGTTTGCATTGCATATGTGTCTATCTGTACATGTACAAGCACGTGTCTTTCTGTGTGTGTTGCATGCATTTTAATTGCTTTATTTGCATGTTAACAACCCACCTCTGACAAACACACACACACACGCACACACACACACACACACACACACACACAGCAGATGTTTGCTCGGCCCGCAGTGTGCTGTGTTCTGTGAGGCATCTGTCATCAACCATCCTGCTGATATACTCAGTACGACCCTGCATGCGTCCAACTGTTTGCATGTGTGTGTGTGTGTATCTCTGTGTGTGTGTGTGTGTGTGTGTGTGTGTGTGTGTGTGTGTGTGTGTGTGTGTGTGTGTGTGTGTGTGTGTGTGTGTGTGTGTGTGTGTGTGTGTGTGTGTGTGTGTTAGTAGGGCTGAACATTAATGAAGATTAATTAATTAGAAAAGTAGAAAATATATGTGATGGTTCTCTCTCTGTTGTCTCATCATGTGTCATTTGTGAGTTTTCTTTCTACTACTCCTACAAGTGCTACAGCGACTCACAGAATTAGAGCTTCATTCCACGTATTATAAAGCGACATCAGAGGACAATTAATCCTTTGTGGTTGGCGCTGTAACAAACATCAGGAGGTGTAGGAAATTGAATCATTCAATCTCGCCACAGCCGCCCATGAATGTATTCATAACAACTCTGCAGGTTTACTCATTTACAAGTTCTGCAGTCTACACTGTAGCATCAGGTGACATGTTTTTTATTCCCCAAAACACCAGTGGCGAACCGTCAGGGCCTTCAAGGTATTCAGAGAACACCCTGGAACACTCAGATAAAACAAACCACAAATCGATTTAATTATATAAATAAAATGTAATAAAATGAATAAATGAATAAATGAGAATGGTATCTGTGTTGTTGATCTGTAATATTACAGTGTTACGTTGATTTGTTTGTCCTTCTCGGACCATGCACTACGCATTTCAGTGGTTTTGTGTTAGAAAAGAAAGCAACCAATCAGATCTTGTCCTTCAACCAAGGTATTCTACATCCTTGATAGAATGCCCTGGCCGTTGCACTGAATGAGAGCATACGTTTGGACTGACAGTTTGATCAACCAATCATATATTGATTTGTAGCCAATGGGCGTGTTCTTTCAGAGTTTCCCTCGGTTCCAGGGTGCTCTAGAACCTCATTCACACCAACGCAACTCCAGTTCAAGCTCCGTGCTAGAGCGTTTTTACATTACATTACATTGCATTTAGCTGACGCTTTTATCCAAAGCGACTTACAATAAGTTCGTTCGTCCAACAAAATACAACTTGAAGAAAACAGAATCATAGAAGTACATCAGGTTTCATAGAGCAAAAACATTTCAAGTGCTACTCAACTGGCTTTAGAAAAGACAGTCCTTTATTAGTATAAAAGTGCTTCGTTAATAGTTCTATCGCTCGAAGTGGAGTCGAAAGAGATGAGTTTTCAGTTTGCGCCGGAAGATGTGCAAGCTATCTGCCGTCCTGATGTCAATGGGGAGCTCATTCCACCATCCTGGAGCCAGGACAGCAAACCCACGTGTTTTCGCCGTTGGGAACTTGGGTCCCCCTCGCAGCGAGGGCGCAGCGAGTCGTTTGGCTGATGCAGAGCGTAGGGCACGCACTGGGGTGTACGGTTTAACCATGTCCTGGATGTACGAAGGGCCAGATCCATTCGCAGCACGGTAAGCAAGTACCAGTGTCTTGAAGTGGATTCTAGCAATTACCGGAAGCCAGTGAAGGGAGCGTAGGAGCGGAGTAGTGTGGGAAAATTTAGGAAGGTTGAAGACCAGACGAGCTTCTGCATTCTGGATGAGCTGCAGAGGTCGGATGGCACATGCAGGTTTCCAGGTTCAGAACCAGTTCTTCGGTTTAGCTCTGGCTCTTTTCACACCGCCCAGAGTCCGACTGGTAATGCGTCATGACGTAACCGTTTGCGTGCCTGCTTCATAAAGCCAAACCGCGCGGATTAAATCAGTTGCATTAATTTCTTATGGCTCTATTTCTATCTGCAGCTTTTCCGGAGTCATTTCTGTGGTTTAGTTATATTCTTATAAAAAAGTGTACTCGTGTCAATAAAGTTTTTTTTAAAACACAACTGCTTCCTAGGTCGGTCTTATTTCTTAAGGTGGACTGAACCATGAGTGTGGAGTAACGTTGTATCTTTCATTTAAATGAACTGTAACCTTCACCCAGGTATGTAACAGCTGTTCTCAAATGAACACGTGAAGTAACGTTTAATATTTATAGTTGTATAGATTTATAATGAGAGGTGATCAACGTGAATGCTCAGGTTCCACCTTAACACGCAGACACGTTGCTTCACCATGAGCAGAAACCTTTATATATACAGTCTATGGCAGAAACACTGAAACTCTGAACCTCTTGTTAAGTTTCTCCATCGTTGTGTACAAACGCGGGCTTTTTGTTGTTGTTCAGGAGTTGATCTGTCTCTGCCCCCGCCTCGACGTAAGCGTGACGTATGCGGTGCTTGAAACGAACCGGATTCTGGAGCTAAGAGGCTGCTCCGCTGCGGTGTGAAGAGGAAAACCCGGTGCTTTTCAAGCTCCAACTCCGAACCGGCCCTGAAACACCGTTGGTGTGAATGAGGTAACTTTCGCTCTACCATCCACAAACACACAAGCCACACCCATCTCTCTCTCTCTTAAAGGGACAGCGATCTCATCTCACTCTGCATGATCCTAATATCATAACATGTGAGCTCTGGAGAATCACAGAACGGACGATCGTCCTTATTATTATGCCGTTTTAACCAATTATTTAAATGTGTTTGTTAAATTCGTAGGGATGTAACGATACCAAAAACTCACGGTACGATAATATCGCGATAACAAGTCCACGGTACGGTATTTATCGCGATATTGAATAATAAAGGGGGAAAAAAAATGTTTTCAATACACATTTTTTTTACTCGGAAAATGTTTCTTTATTACATAATAAATCTGATTTGTACAGCATTTTAGTAGGATAGCAGTATTTTAAAGTGTCAAAAACAAAGTGACAGTAACAGACTGGAACAAGAAAACCAGTGTTTTTGTACCTACTAGTACTACCAAACAAAGTAGGCATTTACTTTGTGCCACTGCATCTCACAAATAAACAAGGACATTTAATAATCAGACCCTGCAATAAAATAAATCAAGTTTGACTTTAGTTTTTCAAGTAACTCAACTCAAACTCACTGGTCACTCACACAGCATCATCAGACAGGTTTTTAGGAATATGAGAATGTCCACATTTCCAGGTATTTATAAACTGGGATGTTTGGGCATTTACAATATCCCCTGCTCTGGAAAAACCTCTCTCGCTTGGTACTGATGTTGCTGGGACAGCAGTGGTCGCGTTAACCGAATATTTTTTTTAACAATGACGGAAAAATCTGAAAGCAGTCTGTCATTTTGACAGATTAGAACAAACTCGGAACAGCGCCAACGTTTCCCCGCAGCGAGGCTCTGGTGTTATGCATGCCCTCCAAAAGGAAATGATATACTTTCCAAACCGTACTTTGCCGTACAGATCAATACATGTCTGGGAGGTTTTGTTTTACGCTGTGCGTGCTCCCGCAAGGTGCATCCACACACGGCATAACACCGCCCCCCCCCCCCCCGTTGACAGTTTACGAGCATGCCCTCTGTGAACTGTTCAGACCCGACGGGTAATAATGGATAATGACGGACATTTTACGATCCTGTCTGTCAAAATGACGGACAGCGAAAAAGTCTAACGCCACCTCAGTGGGACGGAGAGATATGCTTTGGCCATGGGTAACAGCAGTGGGTCAAACTGTGCATTATCTCTCCACCACTTCAAAAACAATACAGTTTTTGCCAAGAAGGTGAGGCTTATAGACAGGGCGAGATATAAATATACTGTTGGTAGCCTACTTGTCAATGT